ATAGATAGATAGATAGATAGATAGATAGATAGATAGATAGATAGATAGATAGATAGATAGATAAGGGGTATCGCATTGTAGCCCAGGCTAATTAACTTAAACTTGCTATGTAGACAACTTGGTTTTGGACTTCTGATCTTCCTGTCTCTACCTCTGGAGTGCAGGTATTACAGCCACCAACAGGCCCTGCTCTGCAGTGTTGATGATCCAGCCTAGGGCTTTGTGAGTACATGGCAAGTACTCTCTCAACTGAACTACATGAACAAACAAGAATATCCTATCATACTGTGTTTTACTTAATAACTGACAACTCTACGTATGTACATAATGCATTCTGGCTAATATCCCGCATTCTCTTATTTCCTCCCACCATTGTCAATCTCATGACTTCCATGAAAATCTCTTTCTCATATTCCTAACTTCCTCGGCGTCCTGCAGATTAGATTTAGTGCCATCTGTGTGACTGTGGTGTTAGACCTCTCCACTAGAGCCTGTTGACTCACCACTCACCAGTGGGCTAACACACAAATGAATACAATGCTTAGGTGTCATTAGTTCAGCAGTAAGTGGTAATGTCTGTCTCTTTGTCATGGTAACTGCTGTCATGGAGTGGCAGGTGTTGAATTTTGACAGATAGAAGGAGTGGAAGTGTTTGATTTTTGTTCTTGTATTTTTCCCTGAGACAGGGTGTCATGTGCCCCAAGCTGGTATCCAATTCTCTAAGGAGTTTTGAATTTCCTCTTTCAATCTGTGATCCCCCACCTCTACTCATTGAGTCCTGGGATTACAGAAGAACACACCAATTTCATGGTGCTGGGGATAGAACACGAGCTCTGTGACTACTAAGCTGTCACTCTCCCATCTGATTCTTTTTACTACTCCTGGATTTTCTTTTTCACAAACAAACAAGCATCAGTGGTCTAAAATAAAAATAAAAACTTTACATAATACATCAGCTATCATGGCATGCATAGTTCATACTGCATAATTTATCCTTTTTCAGTGTAATTTTCAATGGTTTTAATATGGCTCTTCAAAAGCTACACAGTCAGTGACTTTTTTTTAGAACATTTTCATTACTCAAAAAAAAAAGTTGCATGAACATTTACAAACAATTGATCAGATGGATTCTCCCTATTTCAGGAGAGTCACTTGTTTGTTTCCTGGTCACCTGGCACTCAGACCCAAACTAACCACACAGAAACTGCATTAATTAAATCACTGCTTGGCCTATTAGCTGTAACATTTTATTGACTAGCTTTTATATCTTAATTTAACTCATTTACTTATTTTATATTTTACTATGAAGCTTGTGGCCTACCAACAAGGTTTCAGCATACGTGTTTCCAGTGGCAGCTCCAGGGTTTCTCCCTACTTTGCCTTCTTCCTCACAGCATTCCATTTAATTTTCCCCACCTAGCTAAGTTCTGCCCTGATATAGGTTCAAAGCAGATTTTTTTAAATTCATTAATGGTAATCACAGCATACAGAGGTGGAATTCCACAACATCCTTAACTTTCTCTATAGGCTTTTTTACTCACCCATAGCTGTTAGGGCCACCTGCAGACTTGAGTCTTATTTCCTCCTTTTGTAAGGCATGACATCATTGAACTGTGTAAACAACTGGTCCATTGGAACATATTAGACTCAGTCATCTCTGCCAACTCAACTTGACAGATCAGAATGACCACTCCACTACACTCTATTACATAGTGGTGCGTATTGTCAAGAATATTTTCAAAATCTGGTAAGTTGGGTGTACAGAAAGACACTTAGTAATGGGCTAGAGGGAAGGAGATGAATATGTGTAAGTCATACTTTAGGAGAAGTAACTTTATTTGTTAGGAGTCAAAGTGAGGACAAATTGTCACAAGTTGCTGTTGTTTTGCTGAGTTGACTTGTAAAAAAATGACAAAATATCTTTTAGAGAGGGAAAGGGGCATTCTGTAAAGATCTCCATGCAGATGGCAAAATGTATTTTCATGTATTTTTGAATGAAGCCAGTCTTGGTGAGAGGGCCTTTCATGTCAATGAATTTGTTTAATTTTTAGTGGAAAGTAAGAACCTTTGGTCTTCCAAAATGACAACATCATTTATTGATTCTTCCCAAAACGTAAACTCACAGAACAGCAAAACAGGCTCCTCGTGAACTTTATCATCAGTCAAGGCTAATAGATACCATATTCCAAATGAAGCAGAAGTGAGCCATCTACTGACTGGAGCCCTGGCCCTACGCATCATTCCTGGTTATAAATACCATAGCCTGGGAGCACTTCAGCACAAGTAGGAGATGGCAAGCCCTGGAAAGGGTAGCACACACAACTGGAGGCAGAACACAGAGAGGTACATTGCTGAGAGACAAGCAATCATGGACCTGACTTCAACCCTCTCACTGGAAACCTGGGTGCTCCTGACAATTAGCTTGATGCTCCTATACCTGTGAGTAACCATCAGAGTCTCCCACTGTGTCTTTGGTATGGGGTTATATTCAGACATGTATTCTGGTATTGACTATAAGGTCAAAACTGACATAGGAATCAGGGCTAGGAGAGATGGCTCAGTGTTTAAGAACACAGTCTGCTCTCTAGAGGACCCATTTTTGTACCCTGCATTTCAAATGTGGCTCACAATCACCTGCAGCTACAGTTCCAGGGATCTCACGCCCTCTGCAGTACACAATATTAAAAACTGATAATAGAACTTGAAAATAACTCTTGTAAAAACACATTGAATTTACATGTTCTTATTGGAGCTAGGGGTAGCATGTGAGTGTATGTATGTGTGTGTGTATGTGTGTGTGTTTCTGTGTATCTGTGTGTTTCTGTTTGTGTGTGTGTGTGTGTGTGTGTGTGTGTGTGTGTGTGTAGGTCAGAAGGAAACTTTGGGAAGTCAGTTTTCTCCTATTGTTGAGTCTTGCAGGTAAAGCTCAGATTATCAACATTGGTATCCAGTGCCTTTACAGTGCAGGTACCTTGAAGGACAGAAATGAAGTGATAACTGAGCTCATCGTGCATTTTTATTTCGGTGGAATGAGAATCAATGAGAGCCTATATGTCCTAGGCAAGCACTCTACTACTGAGCTATATTTCTAGTGATACTAACTCTTAAAGTTAATACTGACATTATAAAGATCTTCTAGAGACACCCTTACACGCTGTCAACTCCCTCTTGCTGAAGTGGAGGTTTAGTGATAAGAGTTTTTCTTGGGATGATCTGATTTATTGCAAGGAGTTGCTTGCTGATTCCTGACAGCACTATCCTAAAATAATCACACAGAAACTGTATTAATTAAAACACTATTTGGCTCATTATCTCTAACTTTTTATTGGCTAATTCTTACATATTACTTTAACTCATTTCTAGTAATCTGTACATCACCACAAGACGGTGGCTTACTGGCTAAAATTACCAGTGTCTGTCTCCAGAGGCTCCATGGCTTCTCCTGAGTCTGCCCTTCTTTCTCTCAGCATTCAGCTCAGTCTTTCCCGACTACCTAAGTTCTATCCTACCAGGCCAAGATAGTTTCTTTTTTCATTAACCAATAAAAGTAACAGACAGACAGAAGGACCACCAACATCACTGATTGACTTTCATATTTTTCTTATATCCACCAGAACTCAGTAGAAACAGACACAAGCCATGAGCCGCAATGCACACTGGACCCTTCACCCTTTTCCTAAGCTCTCTAGGAACTGGAGAGGCAGCTAAGGTGTTGGTTTTCTTCATATTTTGGTTTTGGTCATATTTTTCTCCTCACTTCTGTATGTATGGTGACAAGCCTTTCTGTTTCATTTTATAGATTTGGGACCCAAAATCATAACATTTTTAAGAAACAGGGAATTCCTGGACCCAAACCTCTGCCAATTTTAGGAACTCTACTGAATTACTACAAGGTAAGTGTTGATTCCTGATAGTTAATAATAGTTTAGTTCTATTAAATGCTCCTTGGAAGGAAACTCTGAGATTCTAGGTCCTCATTCTGTGTGTTTTCAGGAGTCTATAGAATGTCCAGTGATTCCTCAGTGATCTATTGCCAATTTAAAACTATAAAATATTTGTGTGTTAATGTGTTTTTAAGTGTATATTTATGTATTTGTATGTGCATGAGTGCTCATGTTCATGCAGGTGCATGTATATGAATATGCATCTTCATGTAGAAGCCAGGGGTTAGTATTGGGTGTCTTCTTTTTTGATCTTCTTTTCTACTTTGAGGTAGGGTCTCTTACTTGAAGTTAGCTCTCTCTGATTTCCAAAGTGGTTGCACAAGTTTGCATTCCCACCAGCTATTGATAAGTGTTCCCCCTTACTCCACATCCTCTTCAGCATAGGTTATCATTGGTGTTTTTGATTTTAGCCATTTTGACAGGTGTAAGATGGTATCTCAAAGTTGTTTTGATTTGAATTTCCCTAATCACTAAGGAAGTTGAACATGACCTTAAGTGTCTTCTGACCATTTGAACTTCTGTTGAGAATTCTCTGTTCAGTTCAATACACCATTTTTAATTGGGTTAATTAGAATTTTAATGTCTAGTTTCCTGAGTTCTTTATATATTTTGGAGATCAGACCTGTGTCTGATGTGGTATTGGTAAAGAATTTTTCCCATTCAGTAGTTTGTCTTTTTGTCTTAATGACTGTCTCCTTTGTTGTACAGAAGCTTTTCAGTTTTAGGAGTTTACATTTATTCACTGTTGCTCTGTGCTACTGGGATTATAGATAGAAAGTGTTCTCCTGTGCCCATATATTGCAGTCTACTTCTTACTTTCTCTTCTACCAAGTTCAGTGTGGTCAGATTTATATTGAGGTCTTTAATCCATTTGGACTTGACATTTGTGCATGGTGATAGATAAGGATCTATTTTCATTCTTCTACAGGTTGACATCCAGTTATGCCTGCACCATTTGTTGAAGATGCTTTTTTTATTGTATAATTTTAATTTCTTTGTCAAAAATCAGGTTTTCATTGGTGTGTGAGTTAATAGCTGGGTCTTCCATTCAATTCCAGTTTTTGTGGTGTCTTTTCCTGAATTTCTTTAAGGAACTTTAAAAATTTCCTCATTTAGGATCTCTGTTATCTTTATGACATTATTTCTAAAGTTGTTGCCTTATGTATCACCTGCATTAAAATTTTTAGTTCTGCTGTTTTAAGATAACTGGGCTTTGATGATTCCATAATGACCATTCCTGTTGTTGATTATATTTTTTCACTGGCATTTTGGCACCTTGGTTTGGGATTATTATAGTTTTAGGTTTTGATTTCTGAGTTTGTGGCATGGTATTTTTTTCTTGTTTCCTATTTTTTCTCTGGTCTTCTGGCCTAAGTGAACAGGAGTTCTGGTTATTTAGAAGTTTTCAGATCTAATAGGATATCTCCAGTGGGTTTTTTTTTGTGACTTGCAAAACATCTGGGATTTTAAGTGCCAAACTTGCCTTTGTGATTCTAGGCACTTGTGTGACTTCTGGAATTCTGTCTACTTGTTTTGTCTCTAGGATTCCTATTTCAGTGTGGACTTCAACAAGCAGATGTTTTATGCCTAATTTGTGGGCTGGGATATGGATCTCAGGAGATGGGGTACAGGTAGGGGCTGTTGGCTCAGCTTTAAGGAGTGTTAGCCAACAGTAAGCAGTATCTTACCTTGGGTCCTTGGAATCTGCTTAGCTTCAGGTAAATCAGAATCTTCTTCTGATACTGTGTACTGAAATATGTAGCCTGGGGGTGGGTGCAGTCTGGAACTGTTTGGTGTGCTTTAAGGAGTGTTAGCAATGTTGATGGTGTTTGTTTTACCTGGAGTGTCTAGAACCAGCCTGGTCTCTCACAGAATAGCTGGCATTGTTGGTCAGAATATGGACTCCAGAGGAAGGGGATTTATATTTTAAAATTTTTATTTAAAATATTCATATTATAAAGTTTATTTTGAATGTTCATGGTCCACTTGTTTCTATTGGAAATGGCCTTCAAATTTTCCAGGCAAACATCTCCCTCTCCTAATAGGACAATTTTTTTTTAACACATTTTACTCTGGTCTCTTTTCTGTGTGTTAATCTGTTTCTCACATTTCCTTTATATTGTCACTTTTTCTGATTTACCCTCTTTGTGAAGTTATGTTTTCTTTATTTTTCTTTGGTATTTTGTTCCCACAAATACTTCAGTCTGAATATTTTCTAGTTAGTACTGTAAAATCTGAAGGGCAAAAGATAAAGAAACAGTGTGAATTTGAATGGACTGTTCAAACAGGACATAAATAGAGATGCTTCCTGCCTCTAAATTTCTGGCAGCTTGCTTAGGTTTCTAAAATGCAGTTTTTTAATAATTAATATGTAAATTACTTAATTGGATTTTTATAAGATGGTTATTTTTGTAAACATGCAAATAAACATATTTGTTTAAAAAGTAAAAATAAATAAATCACTGCTTGGCCCATTAGCTCTATCTTCTTAGTGACTAACTCTTACATCTTAATTTAACACATTTCTATTAATCTGTACATCACCCAGAGGTCATGGCCTACCAGCAAATATCAGCACATCTGTCTCTGGTGCCAGATCTATGGTCTTTCTGACTCTGCCCTTCTTTTTCCCAGCATTCACTTTAGCTTTTCTTGCCTAGTTCTGTTATGCCTTTGCCATAGGCTCAAGCTGTTCTTTATTCATAATCAATACAAGCAACACAGAGACAAAAAGACCTTTCACACAATGCCTTCATCAAATCCCCCTCTTTAGGACTCAGTAAACTCTGTAAAAGAGGAGTCAGGAAGAGTATAATTGCCAGAAATGCAAATGCCCAGACAATAAAGGCCTCTATTGGTAGTTGTATGAACTCACAGAGACTGAGGTAACATGCAACGGAAACTTAAAAGAAATTCCACACTAACTCAGAAATGAGAAATGATAGTCATTTATTTAGGTGTAAACTCACAAATCAGATTCTTTTGCTCGATCAGTTGAATCACATGATCCAAATGAGAAGCCAGCACAAAAAGAACAAGGGGAGGGTGAAAAAAAGGGGAATGAACGCAGGTTCAGCTTCTTCATATATAGTATAAGAGGCCACACACCAATAGGCAAGTAATTGCAAGCTGTAATACTTCCTACAACAACTCTCCCTTTTCTTTAAATAAGAGAGTTCTAAGCCTAATCCAAAATTATACACAATAAGAACAAATATATCCAATAACTATCCTATCATAATTAATTTAAGTCTTATAAGATAAATAACTTGGCCAAGTTATGAGAAGAAAGTAACTTCAATTATCTAGTCTTCAACCACATCAAAGATCTGAGAAGGGAAATAATATTACTTGAATAAGTAGAAAGAGCAATCAAGCAACTTCCAAAACCCTGCAACAAATTACTGAGGCAACTGGTTACCTGGGCAATCACTCAACGTTTCATTTGCAATGTTAAAGCAACCAACTTTGGCTAAGGTCTAGAATACCTGACAGACCATTTCAAAGGCAAGAAAATTTTCAAAACCATCTTACTCTGTCTTGGCAAGATTTGACAGTCCTGTTTATCCATTTTCAGATACTATACATCTTGTCAGTGGTAGAGGCATGAACATTTCTTTGCCCAAAGACCAGTTTTGCAAAGAGGAAAACAAATTCCTAGTGCAGTGTCTTCAGTACTTAACATTCTCTTGGGAATACATCGGTGCTTCCAGGAGCAATTGTGTCTCACTTCAACAGAACTCTAAGTTATTTAGATGCCATTTTCTACAGCTCTTTGAAGTGGTTGAAGATTATCTATCTATGCAGAATATAATCTCTATGTATCTAAGGAACCTGATTAGTCTAACTATAAGTACGACAGACATAGATGACTATTCATCTATAATTCTTAATACCTATATAAAGACTAAGACAATAAACAACTGTGTAATAAATGAGGATAAAGACCTCCAAATGTAAACAATATATAAGTATCTTGATCAGAGGTAGAAATGTACACAGCAATATGGTAAATATATGTGTGTGTGTATATATATATGTGTGTGTGTGTGTTTTAAACAGAGGTAGATGCTAGCATGCATGCAATATTCAATATAATTTAACATTGTATCAATATACAATAGTCTATACCAATGTAATTGTTAGTGTGATTAAGCTAGTATCAATCTATTATCCCATCCAATTTTCCCTCTTTCTTTCTTTTTGTTTTGAGAGATCCCTGAGCTTATGAAATTTCCCATAACCCCTAACCCTATACCAATTATTTTCAAACCCTAAATGATGTTTCTAACCCTGAGGACAAACTTTGTTGGGAGGGACACGTTATCTTTTAGAATTACTTCCAGCTTTCATTGGGTTGACATTCTTTCTATAGGATCCTGTGAAAGTAAAAAAATGGTTAGGTTTCATGATTAATGTCTGGTACGATTGCCAATAGTCTCTGAGTATTTTGTGAAGGTCTGGCCAGAATGTTGTAAATATGTGCACGATTTCAGCTTATCAAGTTGGAGCCATCCTGTGCAACTGGTATCCAGTACAGGTCTTGTAATAGCACTATCAGCATCATGACATCATATTGACCAGGTAGAGTTGTTGTTGTAGGGCCCCATCTTCTTCCTGGAAACTACAAATATCTTTGTGTGTGTGAGTGTGTGAGTGTGTGTGTGTGTGTGTGTGTGTGTGTGTGTGTGTGTGTGTGAATGTGTGTGTAAGTCAGAAGAAAACTTTGGGGAATCATTTCTCACCTATCATGTGAGTCTTGCTAGTCAAAGTCAGAATAACAAAACTTTGCAGTCAGTGTCTTTACTGTGCAGTCAATTCAAAGGACAGAAATGATGTGACAGCTGAGTTGAGTTCACTAGGCATTTTTATTTTTGGCTAAATAAGCATCAAATGAGTGCCTATATGTGCTAGGCAAGCACTCCACTATTGTGATATAACCCCAGTGG